ATTTATTAACCCTGAGTCACGAGTTCATGATGTATGACGCATTAATACTCTCATTAGAACATGATAAATCATGCATTAGTCAAGCATTAATTAAAAATGAGCACTTCTTTTGTGCTTGTATCTGCATTTTATTTTAGAAGCTTCAGAATCGATGTGAACAAAGAAATGTTGGTTTCAGTCCTGACTTCCATTTTCTGATACCTACTTACTGTATATGGTCCACATGTGAGTCCGAATTAGACGATGATGTATATGATGTCTAGTCTAGTTTACTTGACTAATATGTCTCAAATTCGTTCCCCAGAAAAATCTCACTAAATGGACTTCAAGACCAAAATGGCTGTGTGCTTCACCTCTTCCATAGCATTAGGAATTTATTATTTTACATCAACAGAAAAGTTTCCCTTTGTGTGTCTCCTCGACTGTAAAATGCAAAAATCTCTCAGATGCTTCATGTGTGGATGTTTTTTTTTTTTTTAAAGCTCACAGGATAATTCCCATAAACCAAACAGCTGTTTCTGCAGGTGAACATGGCCGACCGTTTCAACTTCAGTGGCATCAAATATCAGAGGTTGCAGCATGAATAGACGCGCACCCTGTAATTTACAAGACTTTGAAGTGTGCACCTTCTGTTGAAACATGACAAACTCTCGTGGTGGGACAGTATACGAAAAGGGATTATGAAGAAAAACACTATTTTTCACACCATATAATAAAGCTACAAAACACAAGTTATGCATGGTTGATGAATTAATGAAGGATGTATCATGAGAAACGACCATGCCACTGTGCGTTTATGTGATTAGTTAACACTTGATGGATCATCAACTAATGGCTTTTAACTCACAGTTACTTGATGCATTGATTTATAGGAGAACAATACCTATTCTCATAGAAATACGAAGCTATTTCACCAAACTGGTGGTCAGAACGAAACATCTACATGTTGCTGCGCGACCCAAAGGCCTCGATATGTCTTATTTACAAGCTAGGGGTTGGAGTTTTATTTTATTATTACATTTCTCTGTGTTTTTTTCACAGAAGTGGTGGGCAGCAGTGGAGGACAATGGTGCGCTAAAACCAAAAACATCCTATCGGCCAGTCAGGTGCGAATACACAGACATGTCTAAGCATATACGTCAACATTTACGTTTTAAATGCAAAGAAGTGAGAGAGAAAAACTGGGTGTGACTTGTCGACATTGCTAGAGATTGTTTATGTTGACGGTTGGGTCCAAATCAAAGCAGCAGATACAGAGATATCCTGACTTTTAGCCCCTCAAACTCCAAAAATACTGAATCCTACATTTCCCATAATGCAACTCAATAACATTTTAAGACAGCTATGGCTTCTAATGCCCACCATGCACTCACCAAACTTTCATCTTATGACATTTTTGGGGTTATTTTTGTTCAATGACGAGCTACAGAAGACATTTGTGTGTGAAATGGTCAAATGAGTGGAGTGTCCCTTTAACTAATCACATAAACACATACTGACTCATTATTTCTTAATGGTGAGCAACATGAATTCATGATACACTGATGATGCATTAAATCATAACGGGTCAAGCATGTGGCAACCTTTATTAGAAAGTGGGTTGCCTAATATGATGACTGGCTGCAGAGTAAAATACAAAAGACAGGTGGTGCATTCAGGTGCTTGACTATATTTGAAAAGGTAGTAGGACAGATTAGTTTGTCTACTTGTTTTTTTTTTATTTTTTTATTTTTTTGTTGCAGGAAGTGGACATCACTGTTTTACTTCATGTTTCCATGGAGATGATGATGGACTCTTTAACATGTGCAAGCTGCAGCAGCTAAACACAAGTAAGGAGTGAGTGAGTGCTGCAGTGATTAATCTGCATCCAACACCTGACACAACGCGTCAACATGCGAATTACATGTTACAGTCTTCAGGGCAACCACATGGGGTACAAAATATTAATAAAGTGCGATAATGCAACGACAAAGTCAGCAGGCCTTTTTTTCATCTCCATCCTTATGGACTCACCACACAGGTTATTACAGGAATACAACAGTGTTTTATTTGGAAAAGAGGCACATTTTTGCATGGCATAAGTTACAAACCTCACACAGCACACAATGCATAATGTTTAATAGGCTATGGGCCAACCATTTCTCCTTGCAGTGGTTTTAATTAGCTTGCTCTTACCAAGATGGATGCTAATGACTGTAATTACCAGCAAAAGAGGGAGAAAAGGAGCAACAAAGCCGGTGAAGCACACAGGACAACGTACCTTCAGGAGGGTCCAGCGGATGAGAGCGGTGCTGGAGATGTTCCTGTGTTTGTGTCGCTGTGCGCCGGAATGTCACTTCGGGTAAAATGCCCCGTTTTTTCAAAAAATATAAACAGACGAGTGAAGAAATGCGAGACTACAACATGCCTGTCAGAGAGAGGGGCGGTGCCACAGAGCCCCGACGGAGCTGGTACATTACGCTGCCTTCAGGGGCTTCGATGGAAAGTCGTACTTCTCGAGTCTGAGTTAAAGGTACATGTTGTTTTACGTCAGTGTCGTCCCCACAAGCTTCATGTGGGGGTTGCGAGGCCTGCTTTACTTTAAGGCATGCTCAAAAACTCTTTTTGGTTCACTTCTGTGAGGAAAAGTAGAGTAAATGTAAAAAAGTTAATTATCTAATAGAACAATGGCCAAGCGTCTGGGGCAAGAAAACACAGAATTTTCCAAAAGAGAAGCCTATTAAGTTTGTATGATTGGTAACATATTTTTAAAAAGACTATATTTAATATATATATATTATATATATTTAAAAAGACTATAATCAACAAAATAGACACAGAGAATTGTATAAGAAGTTCCCTAAAAAGGAGAAAATCTGCTCAAAATGCATCCAAATGACATGTTTTACACAAACTTCTGCAATTACTGAGTTCACTGTTTCGGTTCATTGTACAGTTTTGAATATCATATGAAATATATATAAAATATGTCACTGAGTCAGGGGTCATCAGTTTACTAAATGATATAAAAGGGGTCCCTCAAGGAAAAAGGTTGGAAACCACTGTTTTCCATCTCCGCACCCTACCCTGTACATTGATATCACACTGTGTTGTCATGTTGGGCTACTGTGCCCTCGAGTGAGTTGTGTGTAAATAATAATTTAAAATTAAATAAACAACAAATACTTAAACGGGGCGGATCTGAAGATCTTCACATTCACAGGGTGGCAAGACAGTGGTATAGAGATTGTAAGGGGTGGCAGGATTATATGATGATTTAATCGTAAACAATCACATATATCAATATTTGCTTGGAAAAGCCTCCAAAAGAAGATATATGAACTCAAAACTTTGTAAAGCATTGAATAGAAATATCGAAAGGTGGCAATAGAAATCAAGAAATTTCCAGATCTTCAGACATTTTTTTCCAAATGCATGTCTTTTTTCATTTAACTTAAGCCTGAAATGTGGCCATAACATAATTAATTTCCATTTCCTACCACGTTATTGTATGTAAACTAATGTGTGAAATTTGGCAGCGTTTGACACCAAACTAGAGTGGCCAAGCATTGGCCAAGATGTTTTGAACAACCTTAAAGCAATTTAAGAATATGTATGATACAGTGTTAAATATAAATCCTACCCACATTTTTGTAAACATAATATTGGAAAAATGCTTTTCATCAGGGCAATCTGCACCCCATTATCCTTTACTTTCCTTAAATAGATCATTCCAATTTAGTTATTTGGGGCAATTTTTAAATGAGGCTTACAGCTGCTACTAATTATGACCAGCGGGCTGTTAAAATATATTTCTTCTTATTATTCTTTCTCACTTTGTGGGTCTGCAGTAACTTGCTAATTAGATTTCCGACAGTACATGAAGGCAGCAAAACAGTGGCGACAAGCTTGAAGGGGGCGTGTCCTTCTGTAGACTGGAGCAATAGAAAGATCAGCCCCATTCACATCCACAGTCTTCAGTGGTAGTGGTAGTGGTACACACTGGACAGCCACTGAAGATGGGGTTGTCATGGAAATCAGATTGACCTGCTACAGGTTGATAGTTTATGTGTTGCCATGACAACTGCATCATTTAACGATCCTGTGGCAGCTGTTACGGAAATTGTGACTTCACAAAAACTTCAGCTGTCTACAGTGAACAGCGATGGAGAAAAGAAGTACTCGGACCATTTTACTCAAGTAAAAGTAGTACAAATACAAAAGCATTAGCATTTCAGAATAATGTATATTAATGTGTGTGTCACTTTAATGTTGCAGCCAGTAAAGGTGGGGCATTTAAAAAAATACTTTATATACTTTTGTGTAGCTTCATCTAATAATATATCATATTTTATTTGTATATTGTATATTCGATTGATAATTTGTATTTATTTGTATGTTCTGAATCTGTAAAGTAGCTAGAAACTAAAAAGTATTATATTAGTGGAGTTAAATGGAATTAATCAAGTAAAGTAGTATCTCAGAATTGTAGTCTATGTCACTGGAGAGCAGTGATTTTACAATTTTATGTACATAGGTTGTATCAGGACTTGGATTTTTTTATAATCAATGAGTCATTCACAATGCATTACAACCACTCCTTAGTTATCAAAGTTAGTAATTCTGTTTTGCAAATAACTAAAATCCCTTGGAAGCCAATGCTCGGTTTACATGCGCATTAGTATCCTGGTTTTGATCTTTTTTGGATCTTATTATGATGTTTACATGGAACATGAGAAACCTGGTTATTCAGATCCCAGCCCTGCACACACGATTATTTAACTATCCAGGTTTCTGATCAACTGTGTGCAGCTGATTTCTCATTATCTCAGTCAGTCACTCTATAATCTGTACCAACAAAGAATGTTCAGAAACCTGGATCAGGTGTTTACATGCCACAGTATCCTGGTTTCTATCGGAGCACTCCGGGTTTCTCAAAACTGGGATACTCCAAAAACCAGGATATGCATTACTTGGTCAGAGAATCAAACACAGTCAAAGGTTGAATAAAGCAGACAAGATGATGTTACAGGGAACTTTAATTGCAGTTACACTAAACTTCTTTGGCTACAGAGAGACAAACACTAGTCCCATGACCCAACTGATGCCCTTGTTGATGGACTGTATCTACTCAGCAAAATGTTTACAATAGTGGTCATTTGAGCAAATCTCAGCTGCCTTATAGAGACACACACAAAGAGACATCAGACAGTCCAGGTGTTAAATTTTACATGTTTCTTCTCATATACCTTCTGGCATACCTGAAACAGTAAACTAAATAATGTTATATGTTAAACACTCTACTGTGTTAGTCATAAAATACAAAAAAAATATGACAAGTTGAGGTGTAATTTGGATTTGTCAAGTTTTTCTAGTTGTAGTATAGGATAAAAATGCAACATATTGTAAATCAATATATAGTTTCTTTCAATAAGCAACTGATAAAATATATATTCTCTTCTGCGAATCATTTTGTGAGGAAAATCCAGACAAATCCATTCACATAACATTGCATAGCCATCATGATACAAACTAATATTCCTTCATTACAAACTTTCACATTCCTTCATTCATAGGGACCAACTTCAAGCCATATGGAGTGATTACATTAGTTATAACAGCAGTAAAATAACTGTCACTGATTTTGGGGCATGGAGGGTGAAAGGTAACGGCCCTGGGGGGAAAAAAATCAAACATGCATAAAGAATAATTTGATCTAAAACAATGTAATACTTACAAAATGGTAATAATGTAATGCTGTTAATAACATTGGTAATTGCAGCAGCAGAAAGACATACTGAGTCTGTAGCCAATTTTTTCCCCCAGTGTACAAACATGTCTTGTGTTGACAATGTGATTATCCTACCAAGCCTCAACCCACCTGATCAAATCACACTGTGTAATTACATCAGTGTGACTGAGTTTTCTCCTGGAAATGTATAAATCTTGGTGCTTGTTTACAGTGACTTTAACTGTGTCAATGCTGGTAAAGGTGTTAAGAACTGGAGCTACAAACTGACTAAGAAATGGGCAGTAACCTATTGAAACTGTAGTTTCACAGACAGATGAGTAAATTCAGCTCAATGCAAATTTTGTAATTCATGTCTGTGGAAAAAAGTTTAAAAAGAGAGCCATCCAAATTTACGGAAAAACTCAGAGTTTGGACAAGATATGAGCTAGGTGAAATATTTGATCATTTCCACCCTCCTGCTCCCTACATAATGTCACATGAAGAGACTGAGTAGTATTAGTTTGTTAGACAGAAAACAGCAGTGCCCTCAGTACAAACATACTCTGCTGTCTCTGCCTCGGTTGTCCACGTCCACTCTGCTTTGAAACTCTCAAACTTTCAGTGGCAGATGGCCAGGAGGAGGCGTTTAAAGTCACCACTGCACTCGTCCTTCAGGGCGTCCTTCAGAGACACGTCATACTTCTCCAGATACATGTCTTTGATGGTCTCCAAATCATACTGTGGACAACAAGAAAAAGAAAAAAGTACACGTCACTCCATTTGTACCATTGGTCAAGCTTGGTGAACTTGAAAAAGCAAGCATGTGTCAATCAGCGTAGTGCAGTATTCTGGTTTCTTAAAAGTAGTGTTTCTATATTTTCTGACAACAAGAATAAGGCCAGGATGCTTCAAATATTGACCAGATTTTACAATAACCAGGTTACTACAGTGCAAGTAAACATGTTGTCCGACTGTCCGTAACCTGATGCTGTAACCTAAGTATGAGGTCATATCTGTAGAATAACATCACAACCTCCTAAGCTGATATTTGTTGCAGAAAACAAAGAGATTTTAGTTTCCTCCAATGATATCCTAAAAAAACACAAAAACTAAATAAAAACCAACTCTGAATATTTGGCTCCACCTGCTGATCTTTAAATGCAATTACCTCAGAGCGACACACGATGATGCGGATGAGGGTGTCCTCATCAGTTCCCATTCCTTTCATCGCGTTGTGCAGACGTCTGGCAAAGTAGAGCTGAGGGTTCTTAGCAACTCTTACTGAAGAGAGGAAAGACAGACTTTCATTAAATCCTACTGCCATCATAAATTTTCCCTAATAATAGGAAACATGTCACATACAACACTTTCATTAACATATAGCATTGTCTATACAGTGTTATTCCTCAATCAGATACACACAACTCAGTTCCCAAAAGTGGTTCTATTGATATTACACATTCTATCCATGTGATTTTTAATGTGGCCTAATGGGAGCAATCCTTATTCTTTATGTGTCAGTTTTGTCTTACTAAAACTGATTCTAGTTTCAGGGAAATTGCTAGAAAATCTTCATTCATTCATACTAACCCAGAGCAATGTAGCATTTTTTCAGTGTCCCAGAAGTCTCATTCTGAATGGCATCCAGGATTTCAGTTCCAGAGAGCTATGGAGAGAAAATTACTAGTTAAACCTAAGCACTAGCAATGCCTTAAAGTGGTAGCGTTTCAGTTTCAAGGTCCATAATTTCCTCTTAATCTCCCAAAACAGATTTGATACTCTGACTACTGATTTTTTCTTTAAAGAAGTATAATTAAAGGAGTTCAGGACATTTTAAAGCCCCAAAGTATAGTTGTAGAAATTAAAGTCTGTCTGCACCTATATGAGAACTAAAAACCTGTTGAAGCGTAATTGTAAGATACCACTGATTAACCCCACATGCTAGCTGAAGATAAAATGTCAGGTCATATGAACTGATATGCAATATCACTGCAGCTATGCACAGTGCGACACCAAAACCTACCTGCTCATATATCTTGAACGTGGCCTGGAGCTGCAAGTAATTTCTGGTTGCCAGGATGTGGGTGAAAGTGGACTCATCTGTGCCAAAACAACCCTCGCCAGCCTGCAACAAATATTGTTCAGGGTTAATGAATATACCAGGAGATTATTAGGAATATGTATTTAACGTTGAAACAGCACCTCGAACAGGGCGGTAGCATCTTGTTCAGCCAGATCCTCATCCACCTCGTAACTCTCATCTCTGTTGCCCTGGAACAAGAAGAATAAGATGACTTCTGCTATGTGGTGAGGCCTTGCTGTCCGACTGATGCAACTATATCTGGCCTCCGTTTTACTAATGAGAGGCTGTCTGGACAGTGGCCAGTGTGTGTGTGTGTGTGTGTGTGTGTGTGTTTATAGGGCATGATTGGGCACAGGGAAAGTGAGCTCAGTTTCAGTCCTACAGCAGACGGGAGGAATTCAGTTACTCAAGTGGAGTAGAAACACAAGAACACCAACCTCCAAAAGGGCCATGAGAAGGTTTCTTACATCCCCGCTCGTATCTCCCTCGATATCGGCATCAAGATCGCGTTCATGCACTAAGAGAGTGAAGTCAACAGAAAAGCATTAAATAAAAAGGCATACTGTTTACTTTATGTCTCAGTATTTAAAGTCCATTGCTAAATACTCTTGTACTATCAGATACAAGTTTGTCATGTTCAGTGCATTCTACAATTTTAATTTGTAATGAAGGGCACCCACTTTCTCTTAACCTGCTTTTTAACTCAAGTTAATTATTATCCTACATTTTCAAGTCTGACCCGTTTCCCTTCTCAAAACACACATCTTGTGACAGCAGTGTGTTTTAGTTTCATGAGAACTACAAGTCAGTATCCTAGCCTCTTCAGTGATGGATTCCTGCCTGTATGACTGAATGAATTTTGAGTCTAAAAAGCATCTTTAAACTTAGAATGTTTTGCAACCGATTTCAATTAAATTTCAATTGGATTGAAGTTCTTTAAGTCAGAAAACAATGAGATTCCATAAACAAAGATTAGTCCAAATGTAATGTAAAAAATAATGACTTTAGTAAACTGGATTCACTAAAGTATAAACTAGGGCTGTGTCCCAAATCACTCCCTTCTTCACTCATTCACTACTCCCTATATAATGAACACCCAATAGTTTCAGAACAGTGAGCAATAGATTGAAATGTCAGACACTTATTAATCATCACCATTTTGCGTCATCACTGATAATCTTTGCATCCATAAAATGCAGCACATTGCATTGTGGGATTATTAGAAATGACATGGACCTTTTTTTTGTTCCATTGTGGAACGTTTGAGGGCACTATACTGAATACACAACGTGGTACAACCTTGTGCGAAGACATTTTCTGAAAGCTAATAGTTCTCCTTTCCATGTCATAACCACGAGTTACATTTGAAGGCGGCAACATTTACAGAAATTAGATTTTTTTTAAATGCCAGACAGTATATAGTGCACTGTAAATAGGGCCTTATTATATTCTTCTATTAAAGAGCGTAACATTGTACCTTATGCCAGTAAGAAGCAAAGTATTACGAATGAAAGAGCAACATTAAGTCGCCAGAGGAAGTACAGCACACTCATTATTCTAGTAACATACACATAAAGTCTACGAGAGCGACGGTAAAACAGGAATTTAACAGTTACTGACAATGTTGCATAGTAACACATTAGCTGGCTCCAGACGGCTAGCTAGTGGTTAGCTTGGTTAGCAGTAAGCTAATGATTAAAATAACTGAATTCTACTCAAGTCTCAAATCCACAACCACAGTACCGGTGATAATGCTTCAACATGCACGAGAAATAAAGTTTAGTGAGGAAAACATATGATGATGTCAACATAAGATGGAGAAGAAACCCCAAAATCATGAAGGAAGATGTTGGTAAATATAATCAGCTATCAGCCGTTGTATCATAGTGAACAGGAAGCTGCAGCAGGATGGGCCTTGACTAAACAAAGTGTGACTGCCTGTTAAAACTCAAGGGTCAAGAATAGTACTGTAGTAGATCTACTGTAGGTCCAAATGAGTCACCCTGAGCCATTTCCTCCAGGGCTCATAATACAAGGAAGGAAAAAAGTGACATTTTGTAAGTTATTGGTTGAGAGGTGAAACTGCACAATATGAACGCTATGTCACATGGGATGGACCTAAACTCAGTTTAATCATGTGACTTTGTTTTGAGAAGTGTTCAAGTTAAGTTTATCATTGTTACTATTATGTATGTTGTAGTAAAGTTTATTTTACAAATCAAATTCTCATTTAAAGCCTCAATTTGCTTAATGGCTTACCTTGAAAGTAGCATTCCTTGAACAGGGCAATGTCCTGTGGGAAACAATGAACAGAAAGTCAGAATATTCTACATAAAAATCATAAAATATATTTTTTTTTATACCAAAGATAACTCTTAATTTGATGCTTTTAATGTAACTGACAGAGTTGGTGGCGGTGCAGAGGATCTCCACCAGGACGTCTTCGTCGGTGCCCGCTCCCTTCATGGCCTTCCTCAGCTCCTTCACGGCGTAGATGACGGGCGGGTCCAGCATGGCGAGGATGGCGTTCTCGAAGCTCCCCGACAGCTCTTTCTTCAACACATCCACCAACTCCTATCACAGAGAGGCAGCATTGAATTGTGATAGGGTTAGGGTCAGGAGAAATGCAGATTTTGGTTGTTATGGTAAAACAAAAACAGTAAAAGGGCATGTAGATATTATTCCGCATATTACTGAATGACACTCACATCATCATACTTATCAAAATAGGCCTGTTTAATTTCCTGACGCTGAAATGAACAGCGGTTTGCCAGGATGTCAATGATGGCCTGTTCATCGGTTCCTGAAGAGAAAAAACTGATTCAGTGCAACAGTTGCGAGTGATGCTTCACTACTAGACAAAACAAACATTACCCATCAAGTATTTCCGACTTACCGAACCCTTTGCAGGCTTTGCGGATGCCTTTAATGTCAGCCACGACATCAAACTCCTCATAGGGCACAATTGTGGGCTAAGAGAATAAAACAAAGACTGTTGTTACTTACAATGCTACACAAAAAAACTGCTTTCTGCTTACATATCAAACTGATCATTGTTTCAGTAAAATGAAGTTCAGAGGCATTCATGATAGAGATGGGGGAGCGGCTGGCAGTTGGGGGGAGGGCAGGACGATGACACAATGCTTTGGTTGAGGAATTCAGGGCCAGAAGTCTTTAAACAAACTTGGTGGGGGCCGCGTGAATAACTGGCAGTAATCAAAGGGCGGTCCAGGGGCCAACCGGGGTCTGTGAAGCTCCAAAGAGTGGCCACAATGGAACTATATCATCCACAGCAATAAAGGATCATTTAATGCCACTTTTCTGTCCCATGACAAGGAGAACGTACAGTAAATGTCTGAATCTTGTTTACACTTTTACAGAATCCCTTCTCAAAATGTCAACAGACCCTTTATTTTGTACTGTACCAACAAACGTATGAATTTATTCAATATAAAGTAGGATGATATTTGCAATTTAAAATACTTTTTAGCAATTACTTTATAATAATACAGTAAAAAAAAACATCAAATAAAGCTATTATTGAAAGCACTGTCATATTGAAGTTGCCAAAGAGGTAAAAAAATAAATAAAAACAAAGGTAGCAAAAAGATCTGACAGAAAACGGACACCATCCCCCATCTGTGCACTCATGGACTCCACTCCTGCCTCACACACAGCACACACAGCCCTTACTCATTCACTCTCATTCATCTACACACACACACATCTAACGGAGCTGTGATGAATTCCGCAGGGGAGTGGCCCCCCTTTTCCTCTGCGTAAACCCAGACACTGTAGTCTGTCGCACGGTGTCATTTAAAGAAACACCAAATACTACCAATCCGACACTATGACTCTCAGATTCAGTCAGATTAATAGGGGGGTTTTCTCTCGATTTGGCCTCTGCGCTGTGCGCAAGGGTTGGCTGCGAATGGAGGCGTCACAGTGTCGATCCCATAATGAGCGATAAATACGAATACGTGGCTGGAAAATGAAGCCGGGAATCTAGCGGTTATCCTGGTGATCGGCTGGGTCAAAACAAATCTGAATCCAATTAATCAAACCGAAACTCTATGCCTTCGATCCAAGTCCAGACTGCTGGTTGTAAAGATTTTGTTATTTCTAGAAGCGGCGCAGACCGTCAAACTCAGCGGTACTTACTTGACAGTTGCCCATTTTAAGGCTGTTTGTCCGTCTGCTGCTGGGGATCTGTAGCAGGAGTCGTGGAGTAGTTCGGGGTTGTGTAGTCCTCCTCGGCGAACTGCGGCCCAAAGCAGCAGAAACCAGTCTGTGACGTCACCACGGACCGCTACCCCGGCAGGTTTAACCATTTACACCCACGGCCACTGTAGTATCCCATGGTGCACTTGTTGAGACTCACAACATCTCTGTGGTTCATAATGTTGACTGTTATTATGTTGTTGTGCTGTATTGTATTATGGTTTCATTACAACATCATTATTATAATAATCCTAAAATATGGGACCGTATAAGTTCATTTATTATGGTGTCATTAAAATGATCATATACTATGGGAATGTAGTCCATTTTTTATTTATAATAAAATAAAGTTTACAATGAATCATATGCTGTCTAAACTGATTGTGCACTTGTTATAAATTCTTGATTAGGAATTAACCCTTTAGATGTCGTGTTCAAGGGGGTCCTCAACGACAGGAAGGACCATATACACAACTTATTGTTGGTTTCATTCCAATAATCATATGGCAGTGTATTTGTTAATTTATTATGGTGTCATTATAAAAATCATGTACTATGGGAATCTACTCCATTTATTATTTATTTACCTTTTTAGAGTCCTTAAGAAAAAGCTGAAAAAGAGACAATAAATGATGTGTTTTTTAAACTGATTGTACAGTTGTTATAAGTTGGAAATTCTTTATTAGGAATAAACCCTTGAGCGGTACCATCTCATCTCCGAAGTACCACATACACAACTGCACACAAAAAACTGACAAAGATAACAGTACACAATTAAACCAGATTGGACAAAAACAAACAAGAACCTACGGAGACAAAACAAAATTAAAGGGGAAAAGGAACAATAAACAACGAGACAAGAACAGATAATACTCCAAACAGAGCAAATTGATCTTTCATTCATAGTTTAGAGTGGTAGTTCTCAAGTTAGTGAAAGCATTAGGTAATAGAGTTACAAAACATGATTGTAAAATTATAAAAGGTGTTATTTTGGACATGTACAACTGTAATTAGGAACATGTACAGTTGATTCTAAAATAAGAAGACAGGTGATTAGATGATACAGACTGAATATTTAAAGGTAGATTATTCCAGTCGGAGGGAGCTTTAAACATTATAGCCTTCTACTCGTTCATCAAATAACCAAACTTAATGGTAAAAGCCAAAACAAATTGGTAAAAGCAGAAATAAAAAAATAAAAACTAGCACAAGTTCTGGCTTATTCAATAGTTTCTCTGCATTTAGCGTGCAATGTTTGCATGAATCAACTGTGAACCAAAAAGTACGTCGTCTGCAGAACTCCTCGGTATAATTACCAAACTTGCCAGCCTACGCTCCAACCGTTGGTATTTCACTGTCCCTTATAACTGTCCCTACATCATAATTACTCCCCCACTGAAGAAGAAAGCTGCTGCTGCCCCGCACAGTAAGGCCCTTAACCTATGAAAACTGAATACACTCACACACAATGTCTGCGTAAAACTGTTCCAATTAAGAGCTTGCTAACGCCATATTAACAAAGCCATGCAATTAGACAAGGATGAGTCATCTCTCTTCCCTGTATAATTATCTGGAAATTACCTTGAAGATCAATTAGGGAACCTTCTGGACAAACAATCCAAAGTATCGAAGTTCACACAATGTGGCTAATGTCCAACACTATAATAAGCAAATTAGCAACATATTCGGTCTAAGACGTGAGTCGTTTACAGTGACAACATGTTCAGTTCATCGTTCAAGTTGTTGAAACTTTTAATTGCAAGACACAGTAGAGTTGCATTATGGGAATTGTAGGACCATAGTATAGTGTAAAGTTTGGTCCATACTAGTCAGGCTTCAATTTTGACCATTCTTTTTAAAATCCATCTTTTCTGAGTCCCCCAACTTTATGTAAGCGATACTAAATCCCAGCTCTAGTACCACTTTATGAAAACTTGAAGCACCATGTGATTCTATTTTATATAACAGTTAAGAAATTATCTTCTGTATCAAATGCAGTCCATTCAGCACCTCTTTAAGTTCTCAGATGCTTTTTCTATTCTGGGAAAAAATCAGGAACTACCTGACTACCATTCTTGGTAGGGAGTGAAGAATGTTGCTGTTGCAGGCACCTGTTCATGCAGCAACACATGCAGCTGTAAGTAGAAGGCTCACTTGTTCTCTGTTCCCAAAACTCTTCATGTGTTTGTTCTCTTGGTCTCAGTTTATTTGCATTCCACCATCAGAATTTGCTGCTGAAATAGCCCAAATATCTTGATGGCGACAACATTACTTAAAGGTAAACAAGAAAGAGAGTACTATTTGCGCCATTGCTCTGTAGCTCTCAGCTGTCTCAGCTCAGGGATGTTATGGTCTTCATTTCACAGGCAGTGGAAGGGGGTCCCGCTGAAGCCTTTATCACGGATCTGGGAACAAAGACAGCATTCAAAAGCATCAGCCAAAGAAACAGGCTGTAATGTCATGCTGGCCCAGGACCCAGACTCATGTTATGGTCTCAAACACAACTTGTTTAGAGTCTGACCAGCTCCTACTGTTAATAACCACAGACAGAGGTTTGAGTTTCTGCTGCTAAAAGACGGATGTGTTGTGTGGAAAGGAGGTCAGAATGGAGTTTCACTTACAAAAACACTTTGGGGCAGTAAACCTCTGCAGGAGGCTTATGTTTCAACAGGAGTTTTTTTAGAGCAAAAGTAAAGAAACAAGTCAAGAAGTTATCTCAGAGGGCTTTTTAGGTTGTCATTGTGCAGGACAGCTTAGAACTGTCTGCTTGTATCTAAAATGACTGAAGAGGCAATAGCAGTACACAATCATCATTTGTTATAGACAGATTTGCACGGCTGCAGACTCTCTATCGGTTCTTTCCTGTCAAAGCTGATGGGCGATCAGGAGACCTTTCCGAGCACACTGGGCTTTTTGTTGCACGGAACAATGCTCGGGTAAAATAAACAGTGCATTGTCTACCTGCTCCTGGGGTAAAATCCCCGCGCTGAGAAGGCTTCTGGTCCGTTTGGTTGTGCCCCGGTGGTGGTTTGGGGCACCACTTCCTGGCATCCCCCAGATGGATTGTTGCATGGTCTCATGGTGCTGCAGACGGTGGGGGAATTGTGACACCGTTAGTTAACATGTAATATATAATAATCTACCATCAATCTTATCACGAAAGAACATGCATTCCAGTTCAAGTGGTTAACCTTTAGTTCGTCAACAGTATTTCTTCTTCTCTCCCTTTCTGTCTGTTGTTTCCTTTGCTCTATCTGCAGGCAAAGCTCGCTGTAATACTGACCTCTGTTTTCCTAAAGAAAACATAAATGTCACACAGGGATATTGTAACAGAAAGTTTAGTAATGTCTGGTTACTTTATGCAAAGGACAGAAGAGTTCGACCTCTCTGGTGACGTTCCCGCTTGATCTTAGGTCTTTATCCTGTTGAACAGCTGATACTGAAGATTGTCCCTGGAAGAAAAGGACTCTCAGCACAACCAGTTTGCTCTGTCTAAGTTGATATTGAATGACAAGTTTAAAATAACTGCTAAACATGGATCAACACCTCCATCTAGTGGTTATATTGACTAACTACAGTTTAAATATGCTTGGAAGGATCTGTCAGGTAATATCCTATATATTTTTTTATTATTGTCAACATATTCCTTGAAAAGACCAAAGCCAAGAATTCCTCTGTGCCATAGAGCAGTGGTTCCCAACCTTTTTCGTTAAGGAACCCCTTTTCTATCATTGAGTAAACTGACAACCCCTGACTGTGACATATTTCAAATTATATTAAATGCATAACAATAACAGAACAGAATCACTGATGAACTGAAAATTAACCCACACATTGAACACAGTAACTGCAGGAAGTTTGCATACAACAAGCAATTTGGGTGAATGTTGAGCAGATGATTTCCTGTGAATACTGCATCAGAGACGAGATTTTCTGATATTTTTAGGAACCTTTTATACAATTCTCTGTATTATGTGTTTATTTAAATCTTTAGATACATACATA